AACAAGAAACTAGGGGCACTTACCCTTTGAAAGCAAGGGGGGTGTGTGTTATTTTGTATGCGGCACTGCCTTTTTCAGAGTTGACAAGCACACAGCACTGAGTCCTGAGGCATGGTGGCAGAGTGTGACTTATGGCAGCCAGCCTAGCTCTGCTCTTCCGAACCTGCAGCTGCCTTCACCTTCATGTACTCTTCTGCCTGGTGAGATTCAGTCTCCAGCATCTACCTTGCTATTTACCTGTGACTGTGAGGTAGAAGATTCTGCAGAATGGAAGCAGAACAGGTTGAGTAACTGCGCCTAAAGAGCACTTACCTCATGGTTCAGTACCAAATGGCACCTCTTCCTATTGCACCTTTTTCAGAGGAGGCGCGAGATGATAAAATAAGGGGCATGCTGAGGAAATTTTCAGGCTATGGGGATCTGGGAACAACTGCAGGTGTGGTGGAGAATGAGATTACCATATAGAATAATCTTGATAAATGGGAGGCAACATCTGGAACAAAGCATGGTGTCAGTGAGCACGAAAGCATCATACTGTCTGTAGGCTGGACTGCATGGGTGCGTGATGGGGGAAGAAACGGCATGTGGTGCAGTTCTGTGGAAAAGGACCAGGAATTTTTGGATCATGAGCTAAGAAGGACACAGTATCGTGCTGTTAGGAAGAGGTTAAAGCACTTGGGCAGGAGCTCAAAAGTAATTTGAAGTAATCTCTCTGCTCTTCTCAGAGTTGGTGGGTCCTACAGCACCCCACTGTTTTAGGTTCTGAACTCTGAACGAGATGGGGACCAATTGGAGGGTGTTCAGAGGACAGCAGTGGTATATAAAATGAGATTGAAAGAATTAGAATTGCTTAGTCAAAACATAGAATATTATGGTTGCAAAGAAGTGGCTAGTCTCTTCTCTGTTCCTCAGTCATGGGGTGGAGAAGGTGAGATTTCATCATTGAGAAACTTTTTCCTCATGCTCAGGGCAGGGGAATACTAAATCAGATGGTCTGAGAAAACCAAGTCTTGGCACAAATCTCTCTTCCATAGATAAGTATATATGGTTCTTTGGTGGAAAGGGAGAGAATTAGATGGTGCCTTTAGATTGTAAACCTTACATCTACATGGTTGTTAGCGACTTCCGTCATGTCTATTACTGCCATTTGCATGTGCAAAAAGAATTCCAACAGGTAAATGAAAACTTTGTGTATCCAAAAAAGGAAGTGTGTCTTGTAATTCTAGGGAGGCAGTCTGAGAGTTGGTTTCTGTGCTTTTATCCAGTTTATTTTTTGTTGGTTTTTCTCTTTTTTTTTTTTGTACTACTGACAAGTGTAAATCCTATTCTTTGTTGGAGCTCACTGCTTCTTATTGGCATATATTTTTAATAAGATTAGAGCTGCAAGAGCTGCTAGGGAAGACTGTGGTCTACAGCTGCAGGGGTAAGAGTGAGAGTGCACTGTGTGAGGGTGTTTGTACGCAATCCAGTGAAGCCCATCTACTGTCAGATAAGAAGGGGCTGTTGACACAAATGTAGAATAGTAGTTCCTGTCTTGCTTTTGCAGTTTAGAGACATCTTGAGATGGAAGTTATGCTGTTCAACAGATCTGGTTTTTTCATGAATATTAATAATAATTTTTGAACCTGTTTGTTTCTTGGACTCAAAAATGTCTTTAGGCATTGAATTCTCTCATATAATTATTTCCTAAGCAAAGAATTACTTAAGAGCAACTTTTTAAAATTTCATTTGATGTTCCCATGTTATTCTGGGAAGCACTTCAGGCATCTGACATACCATGTCACTGTGCTATCATGATTTTTTTTTTGTACTTTGATCTGACACCCCGTCACAGTTATCTGTTTTGTGAGCTAAAAATTCTCTTTACTTTCTTTGTGCAGAAGCTGCTGCATACTCTGATCAATATTACCTATACTTTTTTGGTGCTTTATGTTCTTCATGAGATAAAATAATTTGAAGGTATAGGAACACTGTGGAAAATATAAGCAGAGTAAGAATATGTTATGTTCTCTCTTCCCTTCATTAAAAAAAAAGTTTGATATTCTGGATGGTTCCTAACCTGACCACTTCGAAGCATTGAACAAATGTTTTTGAAGATGTATGTTCGGAGACTACCAGACCTTTTTCTGGTAGTGGCATTAAATAACCTAGAGTTCTTTCTCCCAGAGTGTTACATTGCATTTACTGACATGTGACTTCATCTGTTGTTTTGTATGCTTGTTGCTCAGTGTTCAGGGGTTCTTCTGCAAATTTTTTAATCACATGTCAGTTTTGATTGCTCATAATAATTTTGTATAATTTGCAAACTTAAGCACAGATGATATGTGAAATGAGGGAGATGCAGGTGATTGTTCTGAAGAGCAGCCCAAGTCCTGGCACAGGTTCTGGTGAGGCTTCTGGCTCTCTCCCCTGTGAATCTTTGTCTCTTAAATCTTACCGTGCAAGGTCTTCACTTTCACTTCTGTAACAGCTTCCTATGAGAGACATTAGCAGAAACTTTTTAGAAGTCTTTTGGTCATTACCACTTCCAACGCCTTTATCCATAGGATCCTTGATTCCTTCAAAGAACTGTTCAAGTTGTGAAGCATGACTTACCGCTACGAAAGCTGTGTTGTTTGTTTTGTCCCTATTACTCCAGTCTACAAATTCTTCAGTATGGTTTTAGCCACCTTGCCCGGTGTGGAAGTCAGACTCTTTGTTGTGCTTCTCCCGATTGCCTTGTCAAGCTTTGAAAAATTTAATATATTTTCCACTCTCCATTCCTCTTTACTTAAGTCACCTTTAATTCTGCAAAAGCTTAGGCTTATGGTTTGGCAATTTCATATTTGATGCTTTAATGCTTCAGCTGAGTAGTATCTGGCTCTGGTGAATTCTTACTATTAATTTGATATTTTTAGATGTGCCTCTGATGCTTCATTTTGAGAATGCCTTACATATCCCCAGTCTAAAGAGGATCTGGTGTGGGATTGGCTGGCTGTCTCTGCAGTAATTTCAGAAAACAACAGATCATCAAGGTTTTCTGCTCTATCCTTATCTTCCTTTAATTCTTTCTTTTATATCTTCATTATCTAGTGGTTTATTGCACTGAGGTAGCAAGCTGTCTGTAACTATCAGATACTGCTATGTTTGAGATCAGAAATAGCACCAGGAATTTTGTAACATTTTATTGCTCTCTTACAGATGGCTGTGTAGTTTACTGGCACGCTTTTATTATACTTCTATGTACTAGATAGTATACACCTATCAATTAGACCAATATTGGACTTGTAGTACCAGTTTTAAATTCTACTAATGACCTGTATGCAGATGAAAATATGCACGTAGATAAAAAGTCAGTAGTAACTGGAATTCTGAAGAAAAGTTGGGTTTGCATTTTATTTTTACATTGATCAACAAAATTCTCCATTCTAACGTATGTGATAGAGTAGTTCTTTAAAAAAAAGGTGTGCTTTTTGTCTGTGTGCAGAGAGCAGAAGATCCAGCTTGTCTGTGTTTAAGTGGCTCCAATCCGTTGTTTCATTTATAAATGGAATTTTCAGAAAGGGTTCGTTATACCACATGCGGTTCTTTAACATCTGCTTGAAACCTGAGTGTGCCCAGGTGCTGGTGTAGCATGTGTTTTACTTTCATGAGTCCCATTTGAACCAGGAACAGGGTTAAAAATACTGTTCCTGTCCAGTGATATTCTGGTGCTTCCAACTGGTTTGTATTTGTGGTGGGAGGACTGACGCCAAATTTACTATAATGTTTTTCTCTTGCTTGTAATTTTTTGCTGCTGAAGACTTTCTTTTGGGTTTTGCAACTTTGCAAGAAGTATTTTTGTATCTGTTATTAAAAATGTGGTGAATTTGGTAATGCTTCTAGCCTGCTGCATTTTTTTTCTCCTTTCATAGCTGCTGTTTCTTTGCAGTGACTGAATGTAAGCATCTCTTACAGTCTTTTCTATTTTTGGTCATGGAGAATGGAAGTTTTGTATTTATATTATGCAGCACTTTGTTCCTAGAATGCCACTAAGTAACCAGAAAGGAATACTAAATAATGTCTGCTTGAATATGAACTAAAACTATCCCTGCGTAAGATTTTATAGATGTGTCCATGATTAGTACTTTGTTTTAAATATGGAGATCTGCAAAACACTTTTCTCTTCTTTACCCTTACACACTGTGTCTGTGTTTCAGTTTTGCTTAATGTATCTTTTCTTACAAGAGCATTGCTGAACTGATTGAATGTCTCATCTAAAGATTTAATTTTAGATGAGACATTCTGGTATGAGATTGTGAGTGAACACTTAACATTGGTCTAGAAGTAGCTTATACATTATACCCTGTACTTGTAAGCTATATGCAAAGCCTGTTTCTTGTTCTTTTTTATATTTTATATACTTTTTTGTTAATATAAAACCTCAAAGATCCAGCATTCTGTTGCAGTTTGCTTCACCTAGATTGCAGCCCAGAGTTACAGCTTGAAATTTTAGTGCTGCAGTTGTTTTAACTTTCTGACCTCTTACTATTCTAGATACCAGAGTAATTAGAACCTCATAAGAAATTTCTGTTGCCACTTGTTTTCTTACAGTCTAGTGAAAATTCCACTGCTAAGTTTGTCTTTCATGTAACAAATTTTAGTATTCCGTGTTTTCATTATTAATGGGCATCCTTTTTGTTTTATCAAGGGCAAAGTTCACAAATAAATGAAATTACCTAATTTTCCAGCTACAATACACTGTGTTGTAAGAAATTCCAAGAACTTTAAAAAAAAATCTGCAGTGACATGTGTAGAGACAAAATTATTTCTTCCCTCAAAATTGAGTGTATGAAGTGATAGCACACGACTACTTGCAGTCATTTGAGACGTGTGCTCTTTTGGTTTTCTTGAACACTGTCTCTTTTTAAAACAAATCTGTCTTCTGGTAGTAATCTGAAAATGCAAAGCAACTTACTTAAGTTTTGCAATGTATTTTAAAATGTTGAAATAATAATAAAAAAGGTTTGATCTGTTTTTCTTTCACAGATTCCCCAGAAAATAAAAGTATATTTCAGAAAGTGAAAATCAGAAGAAGTAGCTGTTGACATAAAAAGAAGTGTACTAAGGATCCTTTCTTGAGGAAAATCTTTTAAGGTATGTGAGCTATGTTCTGCAGAAAAGAGTTCCTGAAAATAAGCTGCCTATTTTGGTTTGAGTGGACTAATATTTCAGACCAGTTTCATAATGTTCAGGCTAGCTTTAGATTACCACTTTGGATGTTTATTGATGGCAGTAGCTCTATGGAAGCATTAATTCAGCTAGTTCATGTTCCATACATTTTGCATCAAATACAGATAATATTCTGAATATGTAGTCAGTGTAAACAAATGGTAGATAAAGCATGTGTTTTATGTTTCATGGTCTTGTACATTCCAGGAGTACATCCTATGCTAACAGAAATGTCAATTGTTTAACAGTCTAATTTTTATTTAAGGTGTGGATGGAGGGCTGAGAATTATTTATTTCATTGTTTTAATGGAATATAACTACTATAAGCCTCACATTCAGAAATTGAGGTGGACTATCTAACAAATTAATCACCTGTTATAAAACTGCTTTCAAATTAGTATGGAAGCCTTGAATTTGAGGATTTGTCTCCTGAACCCAAGTCCTCTTCCTTTACTGATTTTGCAGTATTCTTACTGTTTCTAGAAAGGGTCTGCAAAATAAAAGCCATACTAAGTGATTTGGAGCCTGTGCAGATTTTGGAGCAAGGGAGTTGACAACAGATCAAGAGTGAGTGTGATGCTCTCTGCATACTGTGCCCATTCATTTTCCTCCATCTGGAGAGGCCAGATGTGTGCTGTACTTTCCTGTTCTGATTTTAACTGGGTGCTAGGCATGCTTCTGGTTTGTGGTTTATCAGTTGTCTACCTTGTCATTGATACTATGAAACCACAAGTTCCAACTGATGCCTGTGGATCCATCATTATTTTAAGATTAGCAATCACAGTCTTGGATCTGTTTCATGGCAATATATAACAGAAGGCATCAGTTGTTATAAGGGTAGGAGAGCATCCTAGGATAGTATTGCTGTATACATGCTCTGTCCTTCCCTTCCCATTTGATTTTGGTCATTTTCAGACACACAGGACCTTTGGTCTGACACGGTATGGCCACTCTCATGTGTCAGGGACAGATTGCAATCTTTAAATGTGGATTGGCTATGGAAGCTTCTTCAGAGTTGTTGCTGGAATTCAGGAAGACTACTAATGCTGGCATATTGGCTATATTTGCTGAGGGGAGTGTTACAATATTGAAGGATTATGTGACTGTCATTGAAGTTTCCCACTGTCATGCTGACAAATTTTAATATTGCTTCATTTGGAATCTGGCTGCACCGCTGTGGTGGTCGTGGTTGAGAGAAGTCATAAACTGTCTTCAGTAGCTATGCTTAAATTTAGAACTGTTCAAGGTCTGGTTGCTCATTCACAGTTTGTTATTAAATGTACATTGAGTGTTTACTTCCTGTCAGTGATTAGTTTGTTATTTTGAGAGTGACTCTAAAAAGGAAGTGACTGTGTGATCTGTACTGTTTTCAGTTGTTTAAAAGTGTTAAAGAGCATTAAAAGTGTTAAAAAATTAAAAGTCGTTTTAATCTTTTAATTTGTTGGGTTTTAGCTTATTGACAGTTAAGTGACTTAGGTCTTGGATACTCGTCCACCACTTCTTTGCCTCCACAATACTGGAGCATTTGAGTTTTGCTGAATGTCTTGATTGAACATTTTCTTAATTTACAAGGAAGGCATATGGAGGCTGGCTTACCCAGTTGGCAATCATCAGCTCTGAGACTTTGTGCTTGGTAGTCTTACTGAATCAGAATTTTATCACTTTTGCAAAACAAATTTTTTCTGTGCTGCTTCTGTCATGGTGAATGGAATAATTTAAAACAAAGACCAGAGTTCAGCATGTGTACAATTTTTGTCTATGTACCCAGGCATCTAGTAGTGTAATTGGAAAAAATCGAATTACTACTTAGTGAAGGGAGGCTCAGCAGGCTGGAGTAAGATGATGTTGGATCTTCTGTTCTATTGATTTTTGTAGTCTTATGGCTCCACAGTGAGTTGACAGAAGCAGACTGAAATATCATATGCTGAGAATATTTCCTCCCTCCCTTGCCTTCCTGCCTCTTGGTAAAAGACAAGAGGTTAAAGTAAAAGCAAGCAAGCCAGCACTTTACTCATAGCACAAGGCCAGACTTCATCCTGAGATTCAGTTCCCATCTATTCTGAATCGGGCATGTAAGAAAATAAAGATACTATCTCTTCTCATAGCTAATGTGCTAGGATATTTAGGTAATGTGCTAAAATGTGCTAGGAGAAAAATGAGTTTGGTCACAAAAGTGGATATAGGTCTAAAGGGTGTCAAAAAATCACAAGTGCGGCTCCAGTCATGTTAGTAAGTGGGTGCTTTAAGATGTTTTCTTTTGCTTGTCTTACTGAAATATTAGTGGTTTTGCAAGACTCTTAAATTTTAACTGGGAAAATATTATCATTAATACAACTAATAATGACATAGTCTACCCTTTATAAATACAGCCAGTGTGAATTTACTGTTGCTTTTTATGACCGAGGTCCTAGCCATCAGCAAGAACTCTGACTAAAATATACAGCTTCAAATTAAAGAGCATATGAAAGCTTGCAATGTGTTTAAGGTTACTCATACATTTGTTACATGTTAACATACATGTTAACATATATTGTTGTATGTTAACTCATACAACCTTGACTTGTCTCTCTTGTGTAGATGCATAGTAACACAACACTATTCTTATTTTCTTTATAGGATCTTTGTTTCTTTCATTATGTAGCATGGTTGGTGTTCTGACAATAAACATGTAGCGGATGAGGCTTATTTTCATAATTTACTGGAAGAGCTAATGGAGGCAGGGAACTGCAAGAAGAGAGGAATGGTCCTGGGAGTCAGGCTACCCTGGAGATCGCTCTAGGTCCTGATTTGCAAAATCTTCTGAAATTTTGTGTGGTAACTGAAGCCAATAACATCTTTTTTTTTTTTTTTTTCTGGGTATGCTAAAAATGCTGGGCACTCTGAAAAGTCTGTCTTCAAGCCTTGTCCATACCAGTATTAGCTGGTACAATGTTGATATTAGTTTATGTGTCTCTGTTCTCGGTGTAAAATAAGATTATTAGTCCTGCTTTGCCCTGTGGGCTGTTAGGAAGATAAATCTGTTAATGTTTGTAAAACACTCTGCTAATTTAAGTGGCAGTTTAAAGCCTATGAAGAAATTGCTACTTCTGTGTTCAAAAGAGCTAAGACTTGGTTGGAGTGCAGGAGTTAGTGAATATGCAGTACACAGGCTGTGTCTGCACTGCAGTCCAGAGCTATAATTGCAGTTTATGTAAGTTTACCTTATCTAGTTTGAAGCTGTTTAGTATAGGAACAGATTTTTGGTGTATATACAGAAAAGAAGGTTCAGCCTGCATTGCAAAAACTATGCAAATCTGTGGAAATTACTGATACGTATGCGTTCAGATCTTCCATGATGTGGCTGCAAGTTTATCAGTATCAGATGCAGGTGTGTTAGAGCTAGCTCAGACAGGTGTCTTTGACCTGCAGTTGTGTTATAGGATTTCATAAGGCAGCATTTCTTGTCTGTTTCTGAGGTGATGTCCATTTAGTACAGTAAGACTAGACTGTGTTAGGGGAGAATTGTGTAAAGTTAAGGACTCTGCCGTAATCATAGAATCGTAGAATCATAGAATGCTTTGGGTTGGAAGGGACCTTTAGAGGTCCTCTAGCCCAACCCCCCTGCAGTGAGCAGGGACAGCTTTAACTAGATCAGGTTGCTCAGAGCCCTGTCCAAACTGACACTGAATGTTTCTAGGGATGGGGCCTCCACTACTTCTCTGGGCAACCTGTTCCACTGCTTCACCACCCTCACTGTAAAAAATTTCTTTCTTATGTCTAGTCTAAATCTATTCTTCTTTAGTTTAAATCCATTATTCCTTGTCCTGTCACAACAGGCTTTGCTAAAAGCGTTGCCCCCATCCTTCCTGTAGGACCCCTTTAAGTACTGAAAGGCTGCACTAAGGTCTCCCCCACAGCCTTCATTTCTCCAGGCTGAACAACCCCAACTCTCTCAGCCTGTCCTTTTAGGAGAGGTGCTCCAGCCCTCGGATCATTTTGGTTGCCCTCCTCTGCACCCGCTCTAACAGGTCCTTGTCCTTCTTGTGCTGAGGGCTCCAGAGCTGGATGCAGTGCTCCAGGTGAGGTCTCACCAGAGCAGAGTAGAGGGGCAGAATCACCTCCCTCGACCTGCTGGCCAC